AAAAAAAAAAATTAAAAAAATGTGCGAGCTAACTAGTGAGCCAAGCCAGACATGGACGAGCTGAGCAGCTCGGCTTGGCTCACTTAACACCCCTAATTCGACTGGAGAGCCTGAGAATATCCCGGGATAGAAAGACTCATTTTCCAGGGCTGAAAACCAGCTCAAGTGATTTCATAAATAAGGTCTTGTAACAATGGATCTTTTTAGATACAGAAACTGCAACAAGGATTATGATTTGCAGTTCAATTATTTGCAATTTACAACAACAATAATATTGATAAAAGCACTGGTAGCAGCTTTATTGCTCAACGTTTTTCGTAGCTCTGAACTCATTCTAAGGAAAGCTTCGTCTAGCCGGAGTTTTACATACCTGGGAACTTAAAAAGGATGGTTTATTTGACCACGTGTCTCTCCTAATTCAGCATCTTGAAACCCTTAACAATACAGAACTCTTAAATTAAGGTAACTCGAGTCCGATTATATAACTTATTAACAAGTGCGCGTTTCCTAGTTTCTGATAAATATAGACATAATAATGCCAATGGAGATCAAGAATATTCCAAAGAAAAATCTTGCAACACCTACAGATTTGTTCCATTCTTGTAGCAGCATTATGAAATCACTAGTCTCTACATCTGAAAAATTGTACCAGGATGTCCTAACTCGAATCCAGTCGATGTGACACTCTGCATATGAAGATCATGTAGATTTAATCCAAATGGAGCACTCCCTCCAAGATGAGTCCTGATTAAGCTGCAATTTGACAGATTGATTCCTTGGTCTGGCAAATTAGAATCATATTCTACTTTAATCCTGGCGTTCGTATTTGAAGTCTGTTTATCCGGTGAATGAGGCCTATCTTTTTCCGGTGACTTCCATTCAGTTTCTGTAAGATTGACAGTTGTTATATCATGTATACTGGATCTTCTTTTATCGTTCCCTCCAGAAAGCTGTCTGATAAAGTATTTCTGAGCATGACTTGCAACTTGAGTTGGAGTCCTCGTCGTTACGAAATTCCGAGAGATATTTCTCCAGTCTCCTTTTCCATACTTTTTGAGCCCCAACAGAAATTGCCTGAGGGTTTAACATCAATATATATCATCAAAGGAAAAGAAAAAGCTTTGCATAAGAAATTATCACATCAAAAAACTGTAAATACAAAACATTCGCAAGCGTTCAGAGCTTTAAATTCTGTGTACTGTACTGTCTAGTCCTATAATCCTGTCTAGCACTGCATACCAAATAAGTTAGGTGGAAATGAAGCATTAATCAAGTTATGCTAATTTCTAACTGTTAGTTTCCTCAAAATGAACACTATCAAAATATGTCTCTCACTCTGCTAATTTGATGTGTTTGATTACAAAAGGTGGTAAATTTTGCTTATTTCACTAAATTCAAGATTTTTAAACGTCTTTCAATATAAAATTTTAAATTAAATAAAGCTGCAGCAGAACAAAAAATCACCTGTGTTCTTCCTCAGTCCATGGAACTCCCTTTTTCCTTTCATGATCAGAAGAACGAGTCGATGAATTCCTCTTCACTCCCGGACCATATAGGTGTTTTAATCCATCATAACCATGGCTATTCACCCAGTCCAATGTGAAAGAATTAATATGATTGGTATAGCCTGGTATTGGGATTAACCCTGCTTCTATATGCGTAACATCTTCTACCAATTCCTTGTACTGTTTGATCACATCAATTATAGTCTTTCCAGGGATCATAGCTGCAACACTGTACCATCGATCTGGAGCTTCCTCGTCAAATAATGCAAGAGCATCCTCAAACCTTTTGTTCTCTTCAGCTGTCCATTTTGTCCCCTTGTTCTCCTCAGAAAACCAATTTGAGGAACTCAGATATGGTGCAGGAGACAAGAATTCCATTTCCCAGTTCATTTTTTGCAGTTACTCTTAACAGGCAATTTAGTGAACACCTTCAAGCAAAAGAATTTGACAATTGTAAGGATGAAACACATACAAGTGGAGGTCCCTTATGAAGAGATAAGAATTTAAACACTTGATGAGAATCTGAATACTTATTAAGGTAAGGAATCTTGAAAAGGCTCCCACTTTCCTAAACCCGAGGAAAATTCAGGAACTGTGGAAGAAGTAAATCTTGCTAGTAAAATGATAAATATTGAGATTCCTTAACTGATCAAAAGACGCATAAACATCTAAGCACTGAAGATTTACAGAGAAAGTCAGAAAGATATAAAGACTTATGCCATAAATAAATAAATAAACCTGCAATCATATGCTTGACATAACAGAATTTCAAGAAGATAGTGAAGAAAGGATGAGAAAGATTGCTCTTTCTTTTTTTTAATGATAGGGGTGTGAGTGTTGGGGGTGGGGTAGTCGGCGTAGTTTACTTTTAGACGAGATGCTTCTTCACATCAACTAAATAGTGTACTTTTAGGACGAGATGATTCAATATAATCAACTTATATATATATACAGAAGTGAATCCACGTTTCTCAGTAATTTGTACTTGTTTGTCAGTCAGATGGCAAGATCTTGAGAACAGAAAACACTGTAATATTCTAATACAAGAAGAAAGCCAGAGAAATGAAAAGTAATGGAGAATGATTGGGTGGAAGGTGTATGTAGGTCCCGCTTAAAAGACAAGCTTTCATGGGTATTATAGTATATGTATGCATCTGCTTCAGGCATTTTTGTTACTGAATTGAAGGGAGAATTAGTGGTTTCCACATTTTTTTTCATGGAGTTATGGCAAAACAGATGCAAATGCTGATATTTCAGAGTTTTATTCGCACAGTGTATGAGCATTGGTGGTCCATTAGAATTCCAACCACAAGCATAAGAGTTAAAAAGTTATAAAAAGTTACAAAAGCCTTCCATTATTGATGCAAGGAAAAGGTTCTCAATTCAATATGAAACAGGCAAACATAAATGTGGCCAGCTTCAATGGGTCCCGACGTGTATGATTAAAAAAAATTAAACTAATATATATATATATA